TTTAAACCCTTCCCAGACTCTTGCAATAGTCTACATAATGTTTCTAAACTGTAAACGCTCTAAAAGCACAGCATGTCACGATGTCTGCCACCTGCCAGTGCTCTCGGCCATGCCCACTTCTCCGCTGCAGAGCGGCTATCATGACACGCTGCAGGAGGGAGCTTCTCCCTGCCCCTGTGTGGCTCATCCATCAATCAGCCATTTGTGTGTCATGTCCAATCTTATTCTGAAAAACTGTGAAAAAGTGAGTCTGTGAAAAATGAACCGCGCAGTAGTGAGGGACTATTGTATAATTATGTAGTTTTCCCTTTAAGATTTCTAAGTTTTCTCCCTGAAATTATTAGTACTGTTTTTGTTTATTTCATCGTCCGTCCTCCACAATAATAAAACAGTCCATGCTCAGATCCTTCAGTTATGTGAGACTAATTCTGTCCATAAATCAGTGATTTGATTTGACCAGTGAGTGTGGAGGACGCCACCTTTCATACTTTGACAAACAATTTTACAATCCCTTAAAGGGTGAGTCAGTTACTGAACTATTAATAAAAATTACCACCAAATAAAATCGGTTTAATTCTCATGTAAACATTTGTGTGTTAAAACAATCACATGATCAGAAACATAAAAATAACTCAAGTTTTTCCTAAAAGTCATTTAGTATGCAGAAAAGTTTTGACTCACTTTACATTCTTCACAGAAACAAAAGTATTTTTTGTTTTACTGCTGAACACAAATATAATCGACTTGTAAAGTTTTGCAGAACGCAGCTAACACATCACTGAATCCATCTGTAAGATATTTGTTGTTAACATAAACCACATTATTTTCTGCGTATTGATCCTGTTGTAATAAGACAGCTAACCTTATATTTGAATCTCTTTCTGATTAGTTTTAAAAACATTCAAATGAAACTTGAAGCAGATTTTACAGCTCGGTGGGAAAACAAAGTGCCAACAAGTGTAAATATAGGATGTGAAAACATTTTCTGTATTTCTAGCAGCATATTTAGTGATTGTGCACATCGGACAGCAAGCGTGAAAGGAAACAGTGATGAAGTAAGTTTAGTCAGCAGCACTGAGCTGGTCCTCCATCATCACAGATCACCGTGCGACACTAAGATCGTTCACTGATCCAGCGTCATGTTCAGGTCTTGATCTCCAGGATGGAGGGGTTGTGGTCAAGAATGGCCAGAATTATTTTGTCCATATACTGCCTCAGACGCAGGTTGATCTCCTCCTGCTCTTTCATAGCATCCACCAGCTAAAAAACAGACAGAGAAAGAAAATTCTCTTGAGAAGCAGTTTAAAAATCCATACCCTATCTTTTCAGGTCACTGGTGCCCATATCCACCAGTCACACCCTGGACAGGTCTCCAGTCCATCACAGGGACACATAGAGTCAAACAAGAAAAACAACCATAGCCATCGCAACAATTATATGTGAAGGGGACGTGTCCCCCTCACATTAAAAAAATACGAACTTGGACCCCCCCCCCCCCCACACACACACACACACACATTTACCATTAGTTCACTCAGCGCTGTTGGTATTTCTTCGTGAACAAATCCATAATAATAATAAGAGAAAACTTAAACCACTAAAAGTCCACTCCAGGTTTTCCTGGTTACCTACAACAACTCACCAAACTGCATGCAGTGTCTCCCCGAAGTCACTTGATGGGGCTGGGGAGACGCTTCTGTGTTGCGCGCTAGCTTAGCGCTACGTTAGTGCTGGCAGTTGTTGACCGGGAGGGGTGGGGAGGGTGTGTGTGTGAGAGAAGGGGAGTGCTACAGTGGTGTAGTCTACATATTGTAGTGATATACCACGGTAAAGTTAGTTTTACGTTGGACACCGTTGAAGCCACAGAGCACAAATGTGCAACGTCCAACGTAAAAATAACTTTACTGCAGTCAGTCCATATACTGTGCTTAGAAACCAAAGTACACTGGTTAGTACAATGTAGTTGTCAATGTATTTTGATTTTTAAGCATACTGAACAATTCCAAATTTCTCCGATGCTTATATTTAAATAAATGTACAACAAACTGTGTACAACAGTTGGCTTTGTATTAAAAACATGTTATAGAATTTATAAAACATTATCAAAGAAAACATGTTCAAGTATTATGTAGTAAATACAGAAGTATTAATTATACAATAATTTGCTGGATAAGCAAATGTAATAAACAAGCGCTGCATACTGATAGATTGTTACAGAAACATTTAACTGTTGTTTAACATATCAAGGACACGTGTCTAATGATATGTCATGTATCATTGGTCACTTTTAAATGGGTATACTGAAATTCTTAAGCTTTTCTAGTGGGTATACTCCGTATACCCGCTTATCACGTAGACTACACCACTGGAGCGCTACGTCTACGTAGCATCTTAGTTAGCGCATTTGTATTACGCGCTGCTAGCTTAGTGTGCCTTGTTAGTGCCAGCAGTTGTCGACTGGAAGGAGGGGGTGTAAGGATGTTTGAGAGAAGAGGAGTGTGCTCTAGTCACACAAGGAGAGCTGTTGGTCAGGCTACATGTTGTTGCTCTCTAAAATAGTTATTGAATCGTGTTTACTTATGGAGGTAAATGTAGATGTTTAACAACCTGTCAAAATACACCAGAATGAAGGAAATGGAATCTACTTTATTCAAAATTCCTCACATTAAAAATTTATGACACCAATGCAAACAACCATTCACTCTCTCACTCTCACCCAGAGACAATATAGAGTTACCAATCAGCGTAACATGCATGTTTTTGGTCTGTGGGAGGAAAATGGAGTACCCGGAGAAAATCAACGCAGCACGGAGAGAACATGCAAACTCCACACAGAAGGGAACCAAACCAGGAAGCAAACCTGTGACCTTCTTGCTGTCATGTGACATCTCTAACTACCTCAGTAAATAAAAACAGATCATTTTGTGCATCCAGCACTGCACCAAGACTAACCTCGTCTCTGGAGGCGTTGTCGATCTCAGCAGCGAGGCACTGAGCTTTGCTGTGGCAGGAAAACAAGTTCTTGGCCTCGTACAAACTCAGACTGAGAATCTGAGCGTTCAGGTCGTCATTCTGGTCCCGCAGCTTAAAGTTCTCCTGTAGAAGCAACAGGAAACATGCGTGAGCACAGCGTGTCATGGATGGATGGAAAAGATGAATAAAGGTTGAACAGTTTGTGTAAACGCTCTCCACTTCTTCATTAATGTTTTGGAGAAATGACGATAATAAGAGCTGTGTGTGTCTGACTCAGTCTTTTGTAGAATGTTTTCACTGAAGGCAAATGTAGCACAAATCTGATTCCTTTGCCTCTTTGAGCCCGTCAGGTTTTTTCACGAGTCTAAACATGACAAACCCGAGTGCTTTCTAATCCGACCCAGGTCTGTCATTTGTGACTCAGATCCATATCTGATGCTTTTCAAGTGACTGCAGTCTGAACTGTCCTGTCACATTTCATGCAACTCTTACATCAGTGAGGTGGGGGTGGGGGGGGACGGACGATCCAAGTATTAATAATGATGACAACAACCTCATGCAGTTTAAATCTTGGAACTCGTCTTCAGCTACAGAACAAAGTCAACCATTTCTGGTGTTTCCAGATTTCTCTAAATGTTCCTGTATAGATGAGTGTTTTTATTTCCCAGACTGTGTTCTTAGCTCCTTTATCTTGTCTTGTGTTTGGGTGGTCCACGTCGACCGTGCCTATCAATATCTGGGGTGTCCACTGAATACAAAATAAAAAATAAAAATACTGCTCTTTCACATCCGAGTGGCTGCTTGGTGAGAAAGTCTGAGAGTAAAACGAGGCATGGACTCAAAGTTTGAAACAACAAACAGCAGCCTGTCACTTTGCTCTGGAAACCCAAACAGATGGAAACAATTTAGCAGCTTTGTCTTCGTTTGTCTGTCTTCATCCTAATCCTGATCCATTAAACATGGATCGCTGAAAAAAAATAAAGAACCAAGATGAAAAGATGAATAAAAAATGAGTTGCCTTTGTAAAATATTTAGCCAAGTTACAAATGTTTTCATTGTATGTTTTGTATTTACTGTATGTGGACGTTCTCGCCACCTAGTGGTGGAACGGGACTTAATTTAACTACATTTTTGTTGGAATGATCTGGACAGAGGGGCTTTTTTTTTTAAGAACAAAATAAATTAGTTTAAAAATTATCTGTAGTAGAGTAGATGGAGCCTAAAGGCTCCTCAAACTCATTAATAAGAGCAGCTCAGAGGTGTAACAGCAGTGGGTTTACTTCAAACTTCTGATGTTTCACAACAGAAACATCCATCCATCCATCCATCCATCCATCCATCCATCCATCCATCCAT